AGCGCAGCCCGGGCCTCGCCGAGTCCCCAAACTGCAGCGAAACCATTTTCGGTTGGGTGCAACGAGGGAAAAAGGAAACAGGGAAGAGGAGGAAGCGGGGAGCAGAGATGGGGGGCCGGCCGCCCGTGGCGGGGGGGCCAGGGCCCTCCTTTCGTTTTCTGAGCCTTTTCGCGGGAAGGGCTCCCTGCCCCGCGTCGGCAGCGAGGAAGGGCCATTTCCGTCGGGCAAACGCTGAACTCAGCCGGACCTGAGGCCCCGCGGCTGGGGACAAGGCCACCCCTCAGGACTGGACGGTGTTGGGGGTGCGTGATCGTGACCCCGTGGGGGGAGCCTGGAGGAGCTGCCGGACCGGAGTCGCCGCTGGGGCCATAGCAGAACGGTGGCGGTCCCCGTCCCGCTGCCACCCCAGCTACCAGGGGGTCAGCTCAGAGCCTGACATTGGGAAGGCAGGGGTTAACGCCATCGGACAGGTGTGAGGACCCGCTGGCTGGCCAGCCATGTCACTGCAGCTTGGCCCGCGGGGCACCCACCCCCGCCCTCGTGAAAAACAGCCCGCTTTCCACCCAGAGGCCAAGGCACGTGGGGAATGTTCCCCCTTCAGATTCCAGCCCACATCAATCACCCCGTGTCCCATTCCAGGAACATCTGGCCTGTCCCCCCACCCCCACCCATGCCGAGGAGCCTGGGCCCAGGGCCTCCTGTGTTGGGGTTGCTCCCCACTCCATGGCGACTTGTGAATTGGGGGCTGGGGAGCCTTGAAGCTGTGCCTGTCTGGGGACCTGGGGACAGGGTCCCCGTTTGCCCAGAGCAGGTTGCACGTCCTGGAGCAGGGACGCGGGGGCGAGTGCCCCGCTTCAGATGGCGGGGTGCCTGGCGGGCAACCACCCCAGTGCCCCTTTTGGGGGCTCCCACCCCCATCCCGCTTTCTGTCCCCCCACAGGCGCCTGCCCTGGAGAGGCCATTGCCTGGTGCTTGGAGACCCATGCCTGGACCTCAGAGGTAGGAAGGCTGAGGCCACCTTGGGGGACCAGGCTGAGCCCTGGGGGGGGGGGCGCACGCTAAGAACCTTTGCCTTATTTAGTCAAAAGTGTGGCCGAAGGGGCAGGCTTGGCGGGAGTGGATCCAGGTCACACGGCTGCCCCCCCCCCCACCGCCAGGACCAGCAGCAGCGTGGCCCCCACCACAGCAAGGGACCTGCCAGCAGCCCGAGCGTTTTGTGGGGCTGGGGTCTCTCCAGCACAGAGCTCGGCGGGCAGGAAGCCCAGCCCTGCGGCGGCACCAGCTCCCCTCCGGACCCCCGCACCGGATTCCGAAGACGACCATGGGCCACGATCACTCACCCCGCGCGCCTGGCCCTGCCCGCGCCTGGGCTGTCCTCCCTCTCGATCGCGGCCTGTAGCCTGCCTCCCGCACTGCCCGGTCCCTCCCCAGCACTGAGCACCCAGCCGCCCGGTCCCTCCCCAGCGCTGAGCACCCAGCCTCGCCCTCGGGGCGCCTGCCCGGGACACCCTGACCTGCACTGGGCTCTGGGAGAGACGACCAATCCGACCGAGCCTCCGCTGGAAGCAGGCGACCAAGGCCCCAACAGGAACCACCAGCACTCGACGGCAAGGCACGAGCCACCGAGTCACAGGCGCCACCAGCCACTGGTCAACAAACCAGGAGCCA